ATTTTATAACCTCTTCCTTCATCCGACATTCTTAGACGGTTATGTCGATCTTACATTCGTTTTCCGACTCTGAATTCGAGTTTAGTATGCGTTTGCTCTTCCGTATACTTAATTTCCTTCGCCGCATCTGAGAAAGTGGGGATTATGTCAAGCTTATCCTTATGGAAACCATCTACTGTACGTTATTCTTTCTCCCGTTCATGCTGTTCATTTTCGGTCTCAGTGTCCCATTCTTTCTTGTCGTGAACATGACAATATTCTTATTGACTTCTTATCAGGCTCCTTCTGAAAGTTGTATTCTCCAAGAAGACCAAAAATTCATCTTACAGAAGATCAATAGGCCTTCTTATAAAAGATCAGAAGGTTTCAGAACAGCTCAATGTGAGTGAATAGAACTCTGTAGAACCTCCTGCCTACTTCGCAAAAGAGGGTGCCTCCTTACCAGTCGTTTTTAGATTTGCATTCTTCTGCTTTCTGGCAAGTTTCTTAACGTGAGCCTGGTAAAATCCTTGCTCACTCTTCCATCATATTATCAGCGTCCTCAATCCTCTGGCATTCTTAGATGGTTATGTCGTTTTTACATTCGTTTTCCAACTCGGAATTTTAGTTCGAGTTCCGCATGTCTCTGAAGGTTTGGGATTATAGCATATTTAAGGGGGAACACACAGGGATTTCAGGCTTATTTTATTGCAAAATAATAAAGGAGAATGTCGTCCAAATAAAAGTTTGACTCTTATATTCCTTTATAAATTGACAATTCATATGAAGCCAACTTAACAGGGCAGGCCAGAATCCTCGTATGTGTTTCTCCCTTAGGCCCTGTACCCCAACTTTATTATGGTTGTATCAGATTAGTATGATCGAGTACATGTATATTTCCTGCCATCTAGGAACGGTTACGGTAGCAGGCCTTCAAACTTCATTGGCACAATACTCCCACTCATGGTATAATTGTATCATGCTCCCACTGTATGTTTTGAACTTCAAAAAATAGTTTTGTTTACATGTGCGGCAACATTGCTTCCAATTCCAAACATTCAAAATTTTTCTTCCAAAAAAATCAATTAACAAATTTCAAATTCCCAAAATGAATTCTTTGGAAAAAGCGATTTCGGAAAAACATCGTGTCATCATTCAACTAAATAAATTTGGTTCACAAAATGCATCCCACTCTAAATTAACTTTGGTGCAGGTTCGAGCTAGACCAGAAATGACAGATCCATTTGTGGCATTGGGTTATGATACCTTGCAGGTCAATAAGAAGTCGGGATCACAATTTTCCAATTTATCGTCGAAATCATCATTATCGTCGTCATCTTCCAAGGCGAAATTACATTTCGATTGTGTTGGTAATGGTTTTGATGCTCGCACACGTTCCGAAATGGCTTCAATGATGGCTCATTTGTTGCTGCAACAACGTAACTGTTGCATGATACGATGTGTGGCAAAACGTGAATCATCCGCTGCCGTTCTCAATCATTTACTCGTCTGCGAGGTGGATAAACGAATGCAATCGGCCCAGTTAAGCCTGAGTTGCATCGAATGTGAATATTTCGATATACGCAAATTCGATATGGTAAATTTGCTGGGTCGTCCGACACGCACAAAGAAATTCCTTAGCACTATGGATCTCCAGCGATGGCTAAATGGTGATTATCAAAATTTAGTAGCCGGCTGTCATGGTCATGAGTGTTTCGATTTTCGTTTCACCTATTCGGATAGAAGTCGTCGCATGTACGAAGTTAAATTCTCCTATATGCAAGTTGTTGCAGCCGCATTAGATGCGGATGGTAAGATTGCTCTTAGTAGATGTTTGGAAAATTTGAATATACGTCCCAGAGGCAATACATCGATGTTAGTGGATACCATACGTGATTATTACTCTGCCGAACAGGATATGCAAATTTGGATGTTTTTCGAAATTCCCGTTCAACAGAGGAATAGTTTTAATGGTGCGGCCGGTGATATTATGGATGATATGTTGAAATTTGCCAAGGCTGCTTATGCGGGCTTTAATTCGAACAGAGTTATTAATAAATGTGGAATGTGTCGTTGATCTTTTTCGAAAAAAATTATTATTTTTTTTTTAATTCAGAAAAAATATGATATTGTTTGTTACCTAATAAATAAAAAAATTGGTTCAGAACTATATTCTCAAGAATTACTATTGTAAATATTTCGAAATATGTAATTGCCTGAGTCTGCCTTACGGTCTTCTACACAAATATACAAAAACTCCTGTAGGTCCTCTCATAGATCTCCAAAGGGTATTCTAATAGAACCTTCTCAAAGAAGAACAGTAAGTCAAAAGTAAGGATTACTTAAAACAAAACCAAAAAGTAGTTCATTAGTTATTCTCATAGACCGTCCCAATATCTCATCTGAGAACACTGAATATCTTCGGTTTCAGAGAAGTCCAAAAAGTGTTTTCGAAGAAAATGATTTTCTCATAGTAGACGAGAAAGGCTTCTCATAAAGTGTCCGAAGTATTCCCAGAGTAGGGCAGAAGTATTTCTCGTAGAAGATCTGTAGTTATTCTCGTGGAATGTCTCCTCATAAAGGCCTTCGCATAGTAGGCCAAAAGCTATAAAGTCTTCTCAGAGAAGTACAGTTTTCTTTTTCTTGAAAATAAGTTATTCCCATTTTTTAAAAAAGCCAAAAGTTCTCATAGAAGGTCAAAAAACAAGAATGTCTTCAGAGAGAAGTCTGGGAAGTTTTTTTTTCATAGAAGAGTTTTTTTCATAGAAAATCAGAACGTTATCTCATAGAACATCATCTCAAGGAAGGATATCTTTTGGAAACCCAGTTGGTCTCCTCAAATTAGAATAGAAGAAATTTTCACACGGGAGGTCAGAACAGCAGCTCATGAAGACCAGAAAGTCTTTTCATAGAAGCCCAACAAAGAAGAAGTTCTCCTCGCAAAAAATAAATCTTCTACATTAGTCCAGAAAGCCGTTTCGTAGAAGATATTTTCAAATTAGAAGGATCTTTTCATAGTATATCAGAGATTATTCTTATAGAAGACCTGGACGTATCCCCGTAGAAAGTCTTGCCATAAAATAAATCGTAAAGTTCTACAGCTTTTTCATATATGGAACATCATTTCATAGAAGGCCAGAACATCTTACCAAAGAAGACTAAAAGGACTTCACAAAGAAGACCACAACTTCGTCTCATAGAAGACCACAAGTTTTTTTTCATAGAAGACCAGAAAGTGTTATCACAGAAGGACAAGGAATAAGAAGGTAACCTCGTAAAGAAGAATATCATCTCAGATAACCTCAGAAAGTCTTTTCAAAAGAGGTTTCTTCAAGAAAAAGATTTTCTTATAGAATGTCAGAACGTCTTCTCAATTTTCCTAGAAGACAAAAATATATTCTCGAGAACCTCAGAACGTTTTTTTCATAGAAGGTTTTTTCAAATAAGAAGAAGATTTCCTCATAGAAAATCAGAACGCAATCTCAAACAATATCAGGACGTTTTCCTCAAGTAACACCAAAAGGACTTCATAGAGAAAGTCAGAAGTTATTCACATAGAAGATCAAAAGTTAATATCACAATTGGTCTCCCATAAAAAAATCAGGACGGTTTTCTCAGAGAAGTCCAGAGTGGTTTTTTATTGAATATCGAAAGGTATTATCAAAGAAGAACTTTTTATTGTAGAAGGTCATAACGTCTTCTCAAAGAATAATAGATTTTTTTTAGATGATTACAAAGTCAAAGATCAGAAGCTCAAAGAATAAGAAGGTATCCTCATAAACGAGATTATCATCTGAGATAACCTCATAAAGTCTTTTCATCGAAGGTTTTATCAAAGAAGAAGACGATTTTTGCATAGAAAGGCAGAACGTAATCTTTAACAAGGCCAGAATGTCTTTAATGGTTTTCTCAGAAAATTTCAGAAAGTATTTCATTGAAGATCGAAAAGTATTTCTCTAAGAAGAACTTTTCATCCAGAAGACCAGAACGTCTCCTCGAAGAAGACTAGAAGGACTTTTAAAAAGAAGCCCAAAAGCTATTATCATAGAAGTCCTGAATATATTCTCATAGAAACACCCAACCTATTCTCTTAGATGATCTGATTGTTTTCATGAAACCTGACCAGAAAGAATATAACATCAAATAAAAGAAGTACCTTTGAGATCCTTTGACAATCAATACAAATAGAAGTCCTTCCGCCGGATAGACCATAACAATCTTTTAAAATCGTCGGGAGCTTTATGAAGAGTTTATATCAAATCAAGAACCTATGGACCTTAATTTTTTATTATGCAACCCATCAACAACCCGAAGTTTAAAATAACGGCCATATCGGTTGAAAAATGCGCCTAAGAGAATCAGAATACTTAAAGTGAAGACTTACCCTCGTAAGGGGTTATCTCAAACATGAACATTTTTCTGAGTAGGAGTTTTTGTACCTACAAAAACGGAATGCCAAATTGCAGTCATTTCGGTTAGAATCTGCTCCATCAATATACCTATGGGGTTTACGGAGCTATATTGGACATTGACCAATATTGGAAGGAATTTTTACCCCCGAAGAACTCATAATACGATATTACATCCAATTCGATTGGAAATTCCATGGAAATAACTAGCATAGGCGGGGCTATGTCATAATGTGGACCTACACGTAAAATGTTCTGCGAAGAAGTAGTTTACCAACTATAGCACTATCATATGGTATCTCTGACGAACTTTTAGAGTTGCAAACGGAATAAAAAAATAATATGCCCTCCAACTTGTGGGGGCGCCATCTACATTTCAAAACTCCACAAATTTATATTGGCATCCCTAACATTGCTTTATCCAAATCTTATCTTCAAATTTCGTTCTCTAGAGGGCACTGTTTTGTTTTTAAATGTTGATCCATGTGCCGAAACTCTTTAGCCAGTCAGCTGTTCGCGTGTAGAAGGTGCGGAAGAATTTTCCGTCCAGTTCGTTCAATAAATTATTTAATAACAATTCCAATATAAAATACAAAAAAATATTAATTAAGAATGAAATATCCAACAAATTATCTAAAATTACTTAACTTTAGACTGCGTCAGCATTCCTATGTACCACGGAAAAACCTGCATACTACCTCGAACACAGAAGGACCACAGCTAGAAGTTAAATTCTCAAATGGGTAAGTTATGCAGTCAGGCATTATTTGGAGTAAAATTCAAAATTTTAAAATTTTAAAACTCAATTTTATTACAGACGTAATCTCCTTATGACAGCGGGTCGCTATGCCCGTTTTGCCAATGCCACTGCTGTTTGTGAAATGGGTGATACAGCCGTTATGGTTACGGCAGTGTCAAAACAAAAACCCACACCGGGAACAAATTTCACTCCTTTGGTTGTGGATTACCGTCTTAAAACAGCTGCATCGGGAAGAATTCCAACAAATTTCTTTCGTCGTGAAATGGGTCCATCGGAAAAGGAAATTCTCTCGGCCCGTTTAATTGATAGATCTGTGCGTCCTCTATTCCCTGCTGAGTATAGAACCGAGACCCAATTGGTGTGCAATATGTTGGCCATGGATGCTGTCTATTCGCCAGATGTATTGGCATTAAATGCCTCTTCGTTGGCACTGAGTTTAAGTGATATACCCTGGTATGGCCCCATAGGCGCTGTGAGGTGAGAAATAGCCCTTAAAATCATTAATTCATTAGAGTTATTATGTGTTTTAAATGTGATACCCTTTGCAGATTAGGTCTTTGTGATGGTGAAATAATTGTCAATCCCACACGCCGTGAATTACAATCTTCCCAGCTGGATTTAGTGGTATCGGCTACGAAACAAAATCTCGTTGTTATGTTGGAGGGCAAAGGCAATGTTGTGCTGCAACAAGATCTACTTAAGGCCATAAAACAAGGCACCCGAGAGGCACAAAGTATTGTTGCCGAAATTGAAAGGCTGCAGAAGCTGCATGGTAAAGAGAAACGGCCATTGGAACAAATTGCCACAGTTGATGAAGAAATCTCTGCTGCAGTGCGTAGCATGAGTGAAATGCGTCTTCGCGAAATCTTTCAAGATGCTGGCCATGACAAAATATCACGTGATATGGCTGTTAATGATGTACGCACAAATGTTATTGACAAAGTGTGGTCCAGTTATCCAGACACCGATCCTGCCCTTATTACCGATGAATTTAATCGTTTTTGTAAAACGATATTTAGAGAATTGATTTTCGAAACAGATCGTCGTTGTGATGGTCGTGATTTTGATAGTCTGCGGAATATCAGTTGTGAGGTGAGTATACTTTAGGGAAAATTTTTTAGAGGTATATGAAACTTCAAGTCAAACGTGGACCTACATTGACGATATTCAGACATGAGACTAGCCCTTTCAAAGTAACTAAAAGCAGTAAGGACCATTTTGAAAAAACAGAAATTGTATTTGTAATTGTATTTCGGTTGGTAAATTAGACTTGACCTTGGGATTTAGATCTTGGACTTGTATGAGGTCTGTGTCAAAACATGGACCTACATCGAATGTTTTTAGCCCGAGGGAGGTTTTCTTTTGAGAAACCAAAATGCAAAATTATAGTCCTTTTAATAGGAAAATGATACTAAGATCTAAAATACCTAAAAGTTGTTAGGACTTCTATATAAATACTATGTCAAAACATGGACCTTGATTGAAAATATTTATCCATCCATAGCAGCAGATTAAATCCGATTTGGTATAAGCCATCAAGTGGCTTTAGGCCCTACAATAGACTGTATTTATTTAAGTATCCAATATACCCTTACGTGTAATCAGGATCCAATGGGAAATTTCTTCCAAATTAGGCTTTTGGTAGGAAAGTGAGGCTAAGATCTAAACTACCTAAAAGTTGTTAGGACTTCTATATAAGGACTATGTTTGTCCATCTGTAGATTGGTATTATTTAGCCATCCGTAGCAGCAGCTTATATCCAATTTGGTACAAGCACCTGGGAATCATTGCAGTTTAGACCCCACAACAGACTGTATTTAATTAAGTACCCAATGTTGTCTTTTCCAATTCATATATTTTCAGGTTGATTTATACAAGCCCTTGCATGGTTCGGCACTTTTCCAACGTGGTCAAACTCAAGTGTTCTGTACGGTGGCATTGGACTCACAAGAATCTGCCATGAAACTTGACACACTATCGGCATTGGAAAGGTAAGAAATTAAGACTCATAAGCATTGCAAAAATAAAAAATATTTTATGACTCCACATTCTCAAGGTCAAGTCGTTGATGCTCTATTATCGGCTTGTGTATTATCCGGTTTCTAAAATTGTTTTATTTTTTCTCCTATTTTTTTCAGTGGCATTAAAGCCAAAAACTTTATGCTGCACTACGAATTCCCCCCATATGCCACCGGTGAAGTTGGCCGTATTGGCGGTGTCGGCCGCAGAGAATTGGGCCACGGTGCGTTAGCGGAAAAAGCTCTCGTTCCCACACTGCCAAATGATTTTCCCTTTACAGTAAGACTGACATCAGAAGTACTTGAATCGAATGGTTCCAGTTCTATGGCAACCGTTTGTGGTGGTTCAATGGCCCTGATGGATGCCGGTGTACCCGTCTCCTCACCTGCCGCCGGTGTTGCAATTGGTCTTGTTACCAAATATGAAAATAATGACACCAAACACTTGCAAGATTATCGCATTTTGACAGATATTTTGGGTATCGAAGATTATTTAGGTGATATGGATATGAAGGTGGCGGGTACACGTAAAGGTTTCACAGCCATTCAAGCCGATTTGAAAATACCCGGCATTCCATTGAAAGTTGTTATGGAGGCATTACAAAAAGCTACCGATGCTAAGGCGAAAATATTGGACATTATGTCGGAGGCAATACGCGAGCCGAGAAAAGTTAAAAAAGATTGTTGGCCCGTTACGGAACGTATAACCATAGAACCACAACAAAGATCACATTTAATTGGTCCGGGTGGTTTGAATTTGAAAAAGCTCTACATTGAAACTGGTTGTACGGCAACAACGGAAGATGAGACCACATTTACATTATTTGCCCCCTCCCAATCGGCAATGCATGAGGCCAAGGAAATGATTGACACCTTTTTGGTACCCAAAGAGAGAATACCTGATTTAGAATTTGGTGGCATTTATACCGCAAAAATAACAGAGATTCGAGATACTGGTGTTATGGTCATTCTATATAATGGTATGCCTCCGGCATTACTGCATAATTCACAATTGGATCAGAGAAAGGTGAGCGATAACACTTCGAAGTTTCAAAATTTGCTTTCTTTGGTTAATTTTTCGTCATACTTATTTATATTTTACCCTTCCAGGTTGCTCATCCCTCCGCCTTAGGCCTTGAAGTTGGCCAAGAAATTCAAGTGAAATATTTTGGTCGTGATCCTGTCTCAGGTTTTATGCGTTTGTCGCGTAAAGTTCTACAACCTACTACCAGCATTATACGTAGCCTTAATAAATCCAATGCCAATGAAGTACAAAATGATAACTCAACAACACCACCCACCTCCTCTTCCTCCTCAACATCATAGTAGACAATATAAACCCAAAAATAAAACTAAATACTATTTGTTATATTTTTAAGTATGTTTAATTAGTTGTTTTAAACTTTTATGATTTTGTTCGATAAAAACATATAAAATGAATGAATGTTTTACATTTGTTATCCGTTTAAAAAAATGTATAAAAAAATTCTTTAAAATAAAAATGTTTTGCAAATCTTGGAAATGCAAAAAAAGAAAGTGAAATAATGAGAAATATATATGTGTGTGAGAAATAATTACAAAATTCATCAATTGCAAACTTGTGTTTTTTAACTCAAATAGCAAAAGAATAATTAAAAAAACTTAGTTGTTTTTATACAAAATCCTATTTAGTTTATATGTAATTAATATAATAGTAGTATTTGTAATTATGGAAGATATGATTTTTTGTTTGAATTAAAATAACGTTTTCGAGTTAAGAGGTGGAGCAGATTTTTCCAATTACAGCCATATTACCAGTAGATTTTTGTGGGACGTGGATAGATTTTCGCCTTCTTCTTCTATTATGAAATATTTAAAATGTGGACCGACCCGTTAGCAGTATATAGTAGTTGATGCAAGGCCTTATATTTTTCCCAAGCCTCTTTAGGCATCATCTGTATTTTCAATATTTGTCATTATGACATTTCTCCATAGTTGACTTCGTGTGTTTTCCTTTGTTCATATTATAACACGATAATATGAATCGGTTATACTATATAAGGCCACTACGGTTATTTTCGAATCGGTAATATAATCTACAACTTCATCACATATATCGGATATATAACGACGATTTTTAGGGAATCTGAAAAATAAAAAGAAGAAAGAGTATATGTTAATAAAAGAACTACATATTTAATACTTGTATTAAACATAAGTATTTAGATGCCAATGTAACACCATGGTCATGGTACTGTGAAAAACTGGTTCAACTTCTTCCAAAGGCCATTGTGTCACAGAGTACTAACGCCGGGCGTTAATAAAACAAAATCCTTGTGTGCAGAACTCGGAGTTTTCAAGGTCAAAAAATCCAAGCATAAAAATATATCCTATTTATTTTATAAAAATCCACGCATAAAAATATACCTCAAAATTCTTTAAAAAAATTTACCTAATTTTTTAAAATATCTACGCCCAAACTATACCCAAAATTATAAAAAAGTCAAAGCCTGAAAATATACCCAAAATTATAAAAAAAAATCCACGCCTAAAAATTTACCTCATCTTAAAAAATCCACGCCTAAAAATATACCCCATAAAACTATTTTTTAAAATACACTCCCAAAAATATACCCCATAAACCTATTTTTAAAAATACACTCCCAAAGATATACCTTAATTAAAAAAATCCACGCCTAAAGATATACCTCAAAAACCTATTTTTAAAAATCCATTCCTAAAGATATACCTCAAAAAATTATTTTTTAAAATCCACGCCCAATGATATACCTCAAAAGCCTATTTTTAAAAATCCACGTCTAATGATATACCTCAAAAACATATTTTTTAAAATCCATGCCTAAAGATATACCTCAAAAACCTATTTTTAACGATATACCTCTGAAAACTTATTTTTAAAAATCCACATCTAAGATATACCTCCAAAACATATTTTTAAAAATCCACGCCTAATGATATACCCCAAAAACCTATTTATTAAAATGCATGCCTAAAGATATACCTCAAAAACCTATTTTTAAAGATATACCTCTGAAAACTTATTTTTAAAAATCCAATTCTAAGATATACCTCCAAAACATATTTTTAAAAATCCACACCTAAAAATATTCCTCAAAAACTTATTTTTACCTCAAAAACCTATTTTTAAAAATCCACTCCTAAAGATATACCTCAAAAACCTATTTTTAAAAATCCACTCCTAAAAATATACCTCTAAAACGTATTTTTAAAAATCCATGCCTAAAGATATACCTCAAAAATCTATTTTTAAAAATCCACGCCTAAAGATATGCCCCAAAAACCTATTTTTAAAATACACGCCTAAAGATATACCTCAAAAACTAATTTTTAAAAATCCACGCCTAAAAATATACCCTAAACTATAAATTTGTTTAAATCCACCCCTACGCTCAAAAATATACCCTAAAAATATTTTTTCAGTTACCGTGGTACATTTTTATCCATCCTAATATTGGCCGGTAATTCATTTAAAAATGTGACTACCGTGCAGTTTTTGTTTAAAATTACTAAGTTGTTTTCTCGGTGAAACAGATTAAAACGTCGTTAAGGTTTATATTTATTGCGAACTTGCATCTACGAATTAAATTCATCCGTATCAATGTTCGACATTTATCATCACACCACAACATCCCTTTTCAGAGCAGATTTTTCTTGTAGGGACCGGCTTGTTTATTCTGATCAAGTATATACTTCATGGAATATTTGTAGATGTTAAAAATAACTTACCTATCAATTACACTATTAATTTCTTGTTCAGTCTCTTTTCGATCGACAGCTCGTGGATTAATAGCTGCCACTATGCCATTTAATGTGCATGGCGATAATTCCACTACCATAACAGCTATGGTTTCTGTTTTGGCAAATTGTGCCAGAGTTGAAGACATTTGCTGAGTTACCTGCAATGAAAAAAAAACATAAAAATTAATTCCTTAACAAAATCCAATCAAACCACAAATACAATATCTACAACTTACTTGATTCTCCAAACGTCTTCGATAATTTGCCGACAGCTTATCTTGAGTCAACGAAAATATTACTTGTATATTCGGTAAATTACTTAAACTACTCGAGCTGATAATATTTTTAACATTTGTTCCCGATGCCGAGGTGCTGAGGGCATTATCACCACGACTGCCATAACTGCCATAGCTACCACCTCCACCACCACCAAAACCACCGCCGTAGTAATTCGTGTTTGCCTGCTGAGCGGAGTAATATTCATTGGAGGCATTGGTTGTGCTATCCTGCCGCAACGAAAGCTTCTGTATAAAATCTGCCAATTCGGAACGTGTGACATGACGTTCCTGAAAACGTTCTCTCTCCCACGAACGTATACGTAATGCTCCATTTTCAGCAACCAATATAACATGGCTAGCCCCTAGTTTTGCTAAATCTTGAGATTCATCACCACTACATGTAACCGATTCGATAAAACTGCAACGTATACCAGCGGACCACAGCAATCGCATAATATACGTAACATCTTTAAGGGGTGGTCTTGATCCCGACACACAAACACCCACTTCAATTGTTCGACATTTTTGTGAATCTTCTGAACCCATGGCGGCAACAAGTTTATCCAAAGAGAATGAAAGACCAGCTCCACTTATACAGCGATTGGGTAAGTTGGGATTAAAACCTTGTGCCTGTTTTTGGAAATCCATTAGCATGCTGTCGTAGCGTTCACCCACAGCCAATACCGAGGGTCTGGATGTACGATTCGGTTTAACATCGGCAATCATTTGCCATATTACACCACCCGCCGCTGCACGCTCATAATTTATGGGTAATCCAGCAAATATGTGTATGGGACATTTTACACCCAAACTTTGGGCCAACAACACAATTGATTCCATTTCTCTTAGGGCACCCTTGGCCAGGGAGGCAGCTTCACCTTTACCTCTAACCAAAGACCGTAGTGATGAATCATCAGCACTGTTTTTACCACTCATTTGGAAATTAGCTAGCAGCAAATCAATTAAAGCCGATCCAGATGTCCTTGACTTCTCCATAATGCTATTTACAATCGAATGAAATTGAAATTTCGATATACGCCCCTCAATATAATCCAATATGCTGGCAAAGAGATCTGCATACATTTCTTTGGGTACATTACAGTAGAGCAGTATGGCCCTCAAGAGATTTGTGTGGTTCATGCGAATCATAACATTCTTTTCCCGGGGATTGGGAATTTCCGAAGCAATTTCATAGGCCAGCGATAGAAGTTCAGCATCTACCAAATGGCTGGCGGAATGTGGTGAAATGATATCAAAAGCACATTCATAATTTTGTTTTGGATGGAAATTGAAAACTTTTTCCTCGCGATATACACGATCCACACAGTAGCGCCGTATCATATTCACACCACTCATGGCAATGTGTCGGGCAAATTCGGTGCGCAAATCACTTGGTAAAACCACAACACAACCGGAATGTGTCATTAGCTTGACCGGATTGACCCAATGATTAGTGCGTTTCGTTAGAGGTGACATAAGGGGGGTATCCACTTCAATGGCTCCATGTTTACGAAATAGGGATACCACTTTACCCTTGACAAATTCAATCAACGGGCTGAGAGTTACTAAACTTTCCAGGACCACTGGTGTATTCCAGGATTTCATTGCACGACTACCACCCATGTGGTAGGTATGTTCCAAAACTTCATCACTTTCCTGTTGCAGGCAACGAGCTACAATATGTTTGTAGGCTTTACTTTGGGGATTGGCCAGGGCATTCTTGAGCATCTCCTGTAATTCACTTGCTTCCAGCTGAGCTGGCGGTAACAAATCAGATACTAATAATTCTTCGGCCGTTGGTCTTTGTGAGGGGTCATGATTTAGAAGCCAACGAAGGAGCTAAAATCAAAAAATATTAAAAGAACGTTAAAATTTATTTTGGCTCATAATTTCCAAAAAACTCACCTTCACAGTCTTATCATTTTTGGGATTTTGTAACATATAATCTGGTATAACAATATTGGGACTTCTCAGTTTAATTATAGTTTCAGCTCTCTCCATGCCTGTAGCAAATGGAGAATGGCACATTTCGAATAGGATTATACCCAAGGTATACATATCAACTTTTTGGCTATAGGTTGATTTTGAAGCATTTCCCGTTAATTCGGGAGCCACATATAGAGTGGTTCCCACCTTGCCCGTCCCGGTACCATCTTCTATTGATGTTATTTGCGAAGCATGACTTTGCTGTATATTATTATGCTCCTGATGAGAAGATTGTAGGGCCAAAAAACTTGTGGTGGCCAGACCAAAATCACCAATCTTTATTTGATCATGAGAATCTAAGAAAATATTAACCGGTTTCAAATCTCGATGTATTATACCCTGCTGATGGATGTGTGATAAACCTTCGGCTATTTCACGGAATAAACGCCACAGACGATCTGTATTGGCATATAAATTATCATCGATGGCTGTGCGGAGAGTGCATTTTTCACAAAATTCCATTTGAATGTACATGATTTGCATTACCGGTTTCGGTGATAGGACTTTAGATATTTCCGAATCAACCTCATCGACATCATCGTCATCTTCATCATCACTATAGACAGCCACCTTACCATTAGAGTCAACAAATTCAATACCATCATCTGAATCGGAATCATCCATATCATGTGGTATATAACCATTCCAAAGGCTTGATGAATCGGTTTCCGTCTCCGTTGTGGCATTTGCAACTTGTGGTGATTTTGGTGGCTTAATACTCTCCACACTCATGGACCAATCGCCGGATACCAACTTATCCATTTCCTCGATATCCTCTTCATTGACACTTTCTATCCAACTGTTAAAGTAGCGGACCACATTTTCATGATTTAGACGTGACAGTAGCTCTACTTCTCGTGTCATTTTCTTATATAACTGTTTACTTCGTGCCGGTAGTGGTATTCGCTTTATGGCATATTCACGATTATCGAGGATATTACGAACTTTAAGAACATCACCGAAAGCCCCCTTGCCCAAATACATAAGAACTTCGAATTCAGTTCGTAGGCGTGATTGTGACGTGGGTAATGATGGTATGGAAAAGGGTGCCAGGGTTTGTGGTGTTGTCGGTTGTCCTGCCGCATTATTTCGTTGTTTTAGCGGTGCCACAGCCAAGGAGGGCTTTCCACCAACAGCGCCGCCACCTAGGGTTTTGTATGTTGTCATAGCCATGGTTAAATGTTGATTTTCTTTATCCTCATTAGTGAATAGGGAACAGCGTAGAAATGGGTGTTCCAGCAGTTCGGATGCTGATAATGTACGATCGGAATGGCATCTGGAATGAAAAGAAAAAATTATATTTTTCAAATAAATGGGAGAGATCTAAATCATAAGAACTGTAGATACATACAATTAAAGATGCGGTATTATGACAATTCATTCGTTAGAGAATTGAATAAGAAAAAATGTCATAGGGTCGACACATTTAAACCCCAAATCATATATGTTGTTAGAAAGTACTACTTACTTATCAATGAAATCTCGCATCTCCGGTGTATGAGTACTCATTAAACTATCCACCAGTGTTCCAAGTGCTGGTAAATCACCATGTGTCGATCTCTCGCCAGAACCACCAATTAACTCCAGCAAATTGGTAACAATGGAAAAATCTGTCACTCTGATCATACCACTATTATCCATAAATACCGTTGTATCCAAAAGATGGCTATGTGAAACTCCTTTATTGTGGAGAAATACCAAAGCTTCCAACACCCCCTTCGCCACACCACGAACACCATCCATACACCAACCCAACGCCGAAGAAATACTAAATACACTTGTGCCAAAGACAAAATCCTGCACCAAATATACCAACAATCCTTCTTTACGTTTTATGCACAGCACACATTCATATTGAATGAGATTTTTATGATGCAGCTGGGCCAAGGTGCTGACTTGTTTCTCTATCGATGAAATAATGTCATCAACACGATGACTACCCGAACAGTTTGGTTCCGATGTAAGCCATAGACATTTGCCACTTCCACCACAATGCTGCTCAATTTGCGAATATTTAATATTCCATTCAGTGATGTAGACCAATTGTCCGGTATCAATATCAATTCCCGTATAAGCAATACAACCCTTCTGTGAATGACCCAAACAGCTACCTCTTCGAATTTGTCGTCCAACTTTATGGAAATATAACGTTTCGCTATTACGATGTTCAACACATCTTGTGGGATAGATTTGTCCACGATAGTACGGCGAAGAACTCTCCGAACTTTCTGAGGAGCTGGGATGACGATGATTCGATTCACTCATACTACGACGTGGTTCACGTCTTTTTGCTTCCGACTTAAACATCTCCTTGCGACGTTCAACTTCTTCGATGAGATTTTGCCTTTCTTGGTTTTCACGTTGCTTTTTCATATCGAGTAATTCTTGTTCTCGTTGTTGTTTTTGTTGTAACATTTCATCGTAAAATGAACCTCTTGGCGGTTTATTGTGCTTTAGGAGAAAGGCTTGGACCGTCTGCGCTAGCTCATAGATCATAACTTCACCACGTAACTCTTGCGATTGTTGTTGTAATTGTTGAAGTAACTCCTCGATGAGTTGATCGGAAATACCTTTCGTTTCTTCCAAAGTGACCTTGGGTGCTCTGAAATGAAAGTCAGAAAATAATAAAGACATTGAAAATTAATATAACGAAAAATTAATTTGATTCTAAAATAAATAAAAAATAAGAAATTTTTTCTAAAATTCGCCATGGCTTGAAACAAGCCTTTGTAGTGCGTTGCAGAAATCCATTTTCCTCGTGATATGGACCTTTATAATTCTGTAAGTACCCTGGTTTTTTTATAAATATTTTTAAGAGTTATCAGAGCAAATCGAAAGCTGATTCTATGTGGATGTCCAATATTGGATATACTACTTCTTATGTTGAGAGATCACTTATGAGATGATGGGTTGGAGCCATTATAGAGAGGCTATGCCAAAACCTGGAGATGCACAGTGGAAAAAACGGTTAAACATTTAAAAAAGTGGCTAAAATAAGTCGTAACCTTATAAATGGTGTCCAATATCAGAATAAAACATAGACCAATATTGAACATTTTCTTCAACGATGTTGTCATCTTACAGGACTCTGAAATATCGACCAACAGTTCTTCTACTGAAAAATTCATCCCAAACTCTTCGGCCAACGTTCTGAGGTCATATCAAAACGTAGGCCGTCATATCAAAACATTCTTGAAGTCGAACCAATGTACGTGCAGAATTTAAAAACTATCTTAAATTGGGAATTCTAAAGATAGTGCATCGCTAAAACGACAAAGAATTATGGAACAAACCATGTTTAGGGGGTTGTTCGATTATGACAATATAATCATGTTTTTTCGATCGTGTATTGTTTTAAAGTTATAAATTCCTATGCTTATAACTTCATTATTTATGGTTCGATGAAGGTAATATTGGTATGGATGTAATGCGTACACATTATATTTTCAATTAAATTCTTCTTAATTAAAAATTATACAAAATAGCCGGCCTAAAAAGGCAAAAAAGATAAAGTTACAGGGTGCACCTTGTTGGTGATAAGACATGTCGTGGAAAAATTGTGATCCGGCTGTTAAAAATTCCTTTATATCAAAATTTTACTTGGCACCTAGCAGCTGTATCTATTACAAGTGCATCAATTCCAATCCACAACGTTGAAAAATTTGGCTACGCGATTAAAATTTCCTTTATATCAAAATTTTACTTATATTTTTTGACTTTCTTCTATGGACAGGCGGAAAATATCAAGTTTCTCTTAATATCCGCCAATATTACCATACTCGGTCCAAAAATGTACCGGAAGAGCAATGTGGGGATGAATTCCGGTGGAACTGCTAGAGGTCCTTATCTAACTGATGATGATGAACACCACGGATTTCCCCATTACATGTCATATATTATTCGTGATCAGACCGATCGACTTAAAGTCTGACTAGAACAGGTCCTGTGCCGACAATAAACATCAGAGGCAAACCATGCCAAGTACACAGCTGAAATCCGTATTTCCGTAGATATGTGATTCTAAGTACCGCTTGGACCGTTGTATGCGCCATGTATTTACATTCTGAAGTATAGGGGCCCACATATCCGCAAATACGGACAACCTGGTAATCAGGGCACCACGAACCACAAAGAAATTCAAAGCTATCCACGACCGGGTCTTAAACTAGCCTTTCTCCTTTAGAACTGCTTATGGTAAAATTTTCACGATCCGTATCGAATGAACTATAATCAGATAAAAATTAAATTGTTTCATACTTACACCTTAGGATATTTGGATGGACACACTACATGCAGTTTCGTACGAACATATGCCTCCGCCTGACCATTTGATGAATCTCGCAAGGGTGTCAACATTATACGAATATCGGTCGGTTTCCATTGTGAAGGTGTGGCACTGCTATTATATGGCCGTAAATCTTCAACATCATTGCCAAATATCGACTGCACAATTCGACACATGAAAATGAAAAAGAAATTGCGTTTCAATCAAAAAACACCAAATTTTTCATTCACCTAAAAACATAACCCCACTCATCAGAACATACATACATAGTATGTACATATGTATAAATATATATCCGTGTAGTTAAAATAATATCACTAATGTTTACCTTTATCGCTTCCAGTTCTTCCATTTGCCTTTCACGAAAAGACTCTTTTGCCATTTTTACTATCGGCTAGTGGTTTTCTTTCTCTTCCTAGACATTAATTTCACTGCCGGCAAAATTCACAGCGATCCAAGCGTTTTTTTCTATTTATCAACTAATATTGTGTCGCATCAATTGGAAACACTGATATTATTGTTGTACCGTCGGCAGTTCGCTTAGCATAATCACAAGAAGTGCAATTTATTTCTTCGAATTTTTCCTACGGATCCTGCTCCACTGATACTGATCGTTCAGTAATGACAGCTGTTGCCTTTGTTAACTGCATCCAAATGTTCATAGTCCGTCGGCTGTTTGGTTGGCCTCCTTCGAATTGTTTTTAATATATAGTTTTATTATGGAAAACCCGTATTATGGAACGTGTTTTGTGTTTTATTTTTAAATACAGTGCGTAATTTTTTGTTATTGTTTTCCGGTACAAAAAAAAATCTTTACTTCTTCATAACTAGTTCAGTCAAATGATTCACTGCAAGGAAGTGCAAGAACTAGGTTCATCACAAATATTTCGTTTATTTTTCGGTTTATGGTCCATTCACATGAAATGCGGTTCTTGTATTATTGAACACGTTTGATGTAGTTCTATCATAAATGCAGACATAAGCATAATGTTTTATGTTTTATTGATAGTGCAACAACCTCATGGTGACAATTATGATGCAATAATAAGCTGTTAAGGCATAAGCAGAATGGATTCGTTGCGTCAGCATTCGTTTTATTTGTTATCGATAATTCAACAAGCATGTGGAGACGATAACATTAAAGCTTGAAGTTGTTGAGCGTTGCACTTCGAAGTTGAATATATTTTAATTTTACGTTATTGCATTTGCCGCTATTAATCAATTTTCTTAGCAAAATATTTATACCCCATAATGTCCAGATAATTTCGCGCGAACCGTTTTTTCTAAATCACATGAAAACGTAAACAAACAATTTGACCGCTTCGGACCTGGCATTTCCACCTTCGGCCAGATTTTCAATCTGCGCCACATTCCGAAAAATAACCACTAAAAACACATCGAAATGGCGAGAAGACCAAGCTGATGGTATCAAATCGAAAGACGTCCCGTAGACTCGCGCATTTTTTTTTTTTGAGGTGGGAATAAAAAATTACAAAAAATACGATGCCATGTAAGTCTGCTTTTCCACAGGCAAATTTTTATTTGGCAAATACTGAGTTTGTAGGCGAGAGGGGTGCGAGGAAAAAAAACAAAAATTTGCCTGTTCAGAATTTGCCGTACACGCAAATTCTGCTTTGCTCTGTTCTTTGAAAACAATTTTGTTGACATTTCCTTTTGAACCTATTCGCTTTACTGACACACAGCCGGCTTTTGTTTACAAACCTGTTGCTTTAATTTTTGCAAGTGAAATTTAATTTTTAATTTTTGCAATTTATATAATAAAATATATAAAAAATAAATAAAATATTAAAAAAAAATCTTTAAAATGCAAACACTTTTGACTTTTATTTTCTTTCTTTTGTATTTTGATTCGCAAATTTGGCAAAGAAAAATTTGCTAATGGAAAAGCAAGCGAAAATTTCAATAGAGAAACCAAAAAATTTTTTTAAAGCTTGAAGTTGTTGAGCGTTGCACTTCGAAGTTGAATATATTTTAATTTTACGTTATCGCATTTGCCGCTATTAATAAATTTTCTTAGCAAAATATTTATACCCCATAATGTCCAGATAATTTCGCGCGAACCGTTTTTTCTTAATCATATGAAAACGTAAACAAACAATTTGACCACTTAAGACCTGTCATTTCCACCTTAGGCCAGATTTTCAATCTGCGCCAAATCCCGAAAAATAACCACTAAAAACACATCGAAATGGCGAGAAGACCAATCTAATGATATCAATTCGAAAGACGCCCAGTATACTCGGACCAACTGTCATCGGGCGACGAAAATCATTGTCCACGCATTTTTTGAGGTGGGAATAAAAAATTACAAAAAATACGATGCCATGTAAATCTTGATTTAGATTAGGCGAGTTCACTTGCGGCAATTCTTGTTCTATTTTGAACTTGCATCATGCGTCTATACAAGGCATTTCGGTTTCCAAAATATTTTTCTATTTGTTGTTTTTTCACATTTAAATATATATAAAATGTCAACAAAGACGAAATACACAAAACGAATTGCCAGAAAATTGTCGGTACGAGCAATTTTTTTCCATTTCTATTCTCTTTGTCCCTCTCTCCTACAAACAAAGACTTACCGCATCTAAATCATGTTTACATTGTACCGGATTTCGTTAATCCAGTGGATTTAAATTGTCACTTCCATTGTATATATGTCAATTAAATCCTCATGATGTAGGTTAACCCATAAAAAAGTTCTAATGTAAATGCCGTTTAACACAACGATGAAAATTTGGCAGTTTTGTTTGTTCTTCGAATTCCCCCAAGAATTCAATTCAGAATTGATCTCCTATTACTTAATAGGAGAGACGGTATATTCGACAGATATATACCCTCAGCCCATGGTACAATAATAAAGGGCTAAACAGAATGTTCGCGTTGAGCGTTTTTTGTTATCGCGTTAACGCACGCAAAAAGTTAAAATATATTTAACTCCGAAGCGCAGCGCACAACAACTTCTAGCGTTTGTGGTATCGTTTCCTTGTGGTTGTTGTATTTTCGATAACACATAACGCAACGGATGGCTGAACGCGAGCATTCTGCTTAGCCCTTAAGAGGTAGGATAAAGGGCTAAGCAGAATATCGCTACCATCCTTACGCTCCTGGAAATCCTCGCCAAGAAATTACTAACCCATAAGAATCTGGAACATCAAACGGCTATATGAAACTAAAAAACAACATCCTTGCCCATTGAAACTACCCCTTTCAATGCAGGACTGGCACCTACGCTTGAACCACATGCAGCCGACATTATGGCCGTATCTTTCAGGGAATTATTATCCCCAGGATACTAGTCGTCTAACTCTTATATGCGAACCATAACCATAACATAACAATAGGCATTCATGAACGAACATGACTTTATGCCCAAACTCCACCTATTCCCAAGAAAAGGTCCAGCTGCTCTGCATTCGTCAGCGATACATATCATGTGTTTGTTCCTGTAGCTTACAGTCTCAGTCGATAAAATAGCAGAAGTGTCTTGCTCCCCTTTCTGCCCTATGGTGTCTAGGTTTGCATGTCTGACCTGTTTCCGGCCAAATTCACCTAATGTTGTCGAACATCCCTTAACAATGTTGTCCATTTTGTGTGGGAGATACCAGAAGGAGTGGGTCCGATCTTTTAACTTGAATTAAATTTGAAAAAAATATTACTATGTGCATATTTGGCATCAAACCGGATATTAACAAATTTTCTAAATTTTAAATTGATTGATTTTCAAAGTTTCAAAATGTTGACCCTTTGTGAGGCAGGTACTAGAAGGAGCGAACCGATTAGTTCTATCCCCAACAATATAAATTTATAGTTAAAAAAATTAGGCTGTGTAAAGTTTGGTTTGCTCTGCTCGCATGACATAATAAAATTAATATTCAGCCAAAGTTTGAACATTTTTTGGGAAGGTCCACTCAAGAAGGAGTGGACTGATATTCCTTATCTTCGAAATTTAACTAAGTTTGAAAGGAATATTGCAATGACAAAGTTAGGATAATATCAGTAACACCCTTCGAGAGTTATTATGCACACCTGACAGACCGAAATCGTCCGGATTTTGTTCAATGAAACATGGTGACTAAAATCAATATTTCGATGAAGCACATTTTTGCCGCATCAAAGTGTATATTCCCTATGACATCAAATGTCATGTTTAAACACAGCGTTAGCAAGACATTGAATAAATTTTCTGATATGGCAACAATAAATACCATCCACAAAACTGTTCTCTCTCTCATTTCCCAAAAGAGAGGGAGAAAGAGAGTTCGTTTAAATGGCAAATTGACGATTACTGGGTATTTTCATTCCAATTGGGTAACCATGAACGAAATATTAACCATTTCAACATTTGTAAACATTTGTTCGGTCCGAAAAGTCGAAAAACGCGAACGCCAGTCAGAATATAAGTGAGTCGATGATAAGTGAGAAATAAATAAGAAAAAAAAATAGTAAATAAATTATTAATAACCAAAAAGCCAACCCTCGATACAAAAGGAAAATAAAAAAAAAATACTCGCGCAGTTCGTAATTAAACGTGTAAAAATCACAAAGAAAGGGATTTAAATATCAAATCGTGAAAATAAGCAAAGGAAAAAATATAATTTAAGGCCTTTCATTTGGAATTGAAATGTTATACATGATTGTATGATGATTGCTATGGGATGGATGGTGCGAATCGAATGTGAATATAAATGAGCGCACTACTACCAAGTGAGTGAGTGAAGCAAGCAAGCAAACAACATAAAAAATAAGAATAAAATAAATAAAATCCACTTGGAAAAGAAATTCTGTTTTAACCCCTGAATTGCAAGAAGAAAAAGAAAAAACCCATAGCTGGGTTAACCAACAACAACAACACCAGCAGCAACAAAATCATAATTCTGTGTGGATTTCGGTGTTATTTTTTGTGCAATTTTTCTGTAGAATAAAAAGTGCCAATCACCTGTGTAAATTTCTTTTGGGGAATATTTATTAGTGGTGTTTGTAGTCGTCGTTGTTGCATTATTGTATGTTTGCTGCCGCCGCTGCTACTACAACTACTGCTGCTGCTTCTGCCGCCACTGATGCCTGGTTTGTGTGGTGCGGCACCCAAGTGTACATGTGAGTTATTGTGTTTGTGTGGTGTTCGTAATCAACGTCGTCGTTGTTGCCGCCGCCGATTGTATTGTGAGTGAGTGAGGGAGCCACCAAAGCAAAGCAAACAAAACGAGGCATCCCAAAAAAACGCCGTGAGGGCATCAAAGTGATAGATGATAGCAAAAACAACAGTGAAATAATAAAAAATAAATTTATAATAATAACAACAACAAAAATTCTGTGGAAATAAAGAATTACAAGATACAACAACAAAACAAGTGTAAAAGAAAA